TGAAAGCACACAAAAAATGTATTCTGAAATTTGATTTTAAATTCATTTAGTGCTATACATTTGACTAACATCTTCCTTTGTTCCATTATCTAGCATTTTATATTTTCAAAGTAAGCTTTTCTCTATTGAAAATTAAATTCAACCGCTGACGTTCGTTCATACAGTTCTTATTATATGTACCTACAACCGTTGCCACCGCAGCATGAGATCTGTTGCTAATAATTAAAGGCTCACTAAATTTCACGGAATCTGTTATTTTCCACCCAATTCCCAATTCAGTTCAAATAATTTTTTGAACTCTAAATATTTTATTTTAGGAATCTTAACTCCTCTGGTAATCCATATGGGTTTTCATTCGGCGCCGATACTGTGAAATTGCTTAAATTTTGGTTTCGAATCAAACACACGGACTTAGTTTCAGGTTCTCTATGCAACGCAGGAGGTTTCAAACTTGTCGTATGGACGTTAACGTTACACATACTTTACAAAGAGACCTTTGGAAACATACCGGCCACTCATGTAGGTATATATGCAGTTGAAAGCGTAACTGTGCCAACTGTGACGAATAAATCAAGGGTAAACTGTACAAAAAAATGTCAACACCAAAAATGCAAAAGAAAAACCAATAAGAAGGAAAATTGTTACATATACATACATACATTTGTTCATCCACTTCACATACACTGTAGTACTCACCAACATCTGATAGATCGGGCAGTAGAATCTCCTCGCCGCGATGCCAGCTGGACACCTTAACATACGGGCGCACATAGTCCGGAATAGCGCACTTGATCAACGCTGAATTTCCCAAATAGACTTCGGTATTTTCCACGTGCACATGAAACTGGCGGCGAACAACTGCAAAAAAGAAAATGAAAATTCAACAACAATGTAAAAAGCTACTATAGGAATTGTGAATGGCTATATAATTGCTCCTATATATGTACATATGTGTATTTGCTCATGGAAGTAAGCACCCAAGTGTGGTTGCGAGTCTGGTCTCTGCTGTGAATGAGCGAATATAAATTCACACGCTTGAAAAAAGTTCAACATAAAATTCAAAATGTGACAGTTGTACAATATTTGCATAGATATCTGTAAGCTTTTAKGTTTTACACTCACATCACCTTGGATACAGTATAAATACTTTGTTCATCTGCCAACATAGAACACGAGCTTGAAATATGTACATGTGCAGATCTGGGCAATTAGTATCTGCAGCTAGAATACATGTCTAGTAATTTTTGACAAGGTCAAATRACGATGTCATAGTCGTGTTTCGACATTTCTCTCGACCAATAGAYACGAGACTTTTCAAGAGCCTTTGAAAATTGTATGGAATTCAACGGTTACAATTATTTTACAGTCAAAAGTTTATATTGAATATATTGAATTTATATTGAATATGTGAATATGTCCTGGTTCTATTTACATGGCGATCTTTTGTCATCAGTTTACGCACAGCATAAATAGTTTCCGGAAAAACAACTGATGTTATAAGACCTGCATGAAATTGGTGCTGAACTGTTCTCCGACCCGGATTACATTCACAATATCATCGATGAAAACTTGTACATGCTTCTCCAAAAATTCAATAAAGTTCATCGACGCACRATTGCGTGTTGAGTTAATCAACTTCGAAATTTGTAAAAAAAATAATTGTACAAACATATTCACGATTAGCCGAGATGAATATTTTAAGCTACTGTAGGCAACACGAATAACGTCCCTGTGTCAAAACGTTCTTAGTATATATAACATCAAAAATGTCAAACCTTAAGATAAATCWGTGAGTTGCCATGTTGCAATAATAGGGTTGGCGAATCCCGAAATAATAAAACAGCCTTCTAATACGGCCAAGCCATCATTTAGTTTACAGTTTGTTAGATCATATACCTAATTAACATGAGCTTTGCATATTTTTCAGTATTYTCTAACCAAAACGATGCATACTTTACGTGCGTGAATGGCAGTGGACTGAATTAAAATTATGCTAAGATGCAAGTTACAGAGGACTAAAAAAAAATAACAGAACAAATGGTCTTTTCGGCAAAATCAATTTCTTTTATTCAAAATAATCTCCCTCTGCTTCAATACAGCTTTTTGCARGGTCCAAAAGCATGTCGAACGAGTGTTTTAGCTCGCTGACCGGTATGGCCGAGAGTATGCCGATGCAAGACATTTGAATTTCTTCTACATCTGCATAACGCAAATGCATTTTTCCGAAAAGGAAGAAGTCGCACGGTGCCATATCAGGTGAATACGGGGAGTGGTTAATGGTTAAAGTGTGATTTTTGGTCAAGTAATCTGTCACAATGATATCCCTCGTATGTTGGATTCTGAGCAATTTTTGGTCGTCAGTCAATTTGTGCGGAACAAACCTTTCACACAACTTTCGTAAGCCCAAATGTTCGCTCAATATGCGATAAATCGATGTTTTGGAGATGTTCAATTCCGTTTCCATAATTATACTCTCGCAACAAAGTTGCTAAAGAGAGTTTTGTTCACATAACGGTTGTTTGTAAGTCCTAAAACTAAAAGAGTCAGATATAGGGTTATATATACCAAAGTGATCAGGGTGACGAGTAGAGTTGA